ATAACCTTGAAACTGTAACGATGGGTGGTTACTGTGGTTCGGCAGAGAATATTTTCCTCGTATCCTACGGTCTTGGAGTCCAGGTGTATTCACCAGGCATTCGTGGAGCAGTTGTGTCGTCGATGAGTGTCCTCCGTCACTTGCGTTGGCCAAATGGGTGTTTAGAAGGAGGGAATCTAAAACGAGATTCGTGGCCTGTTCAGACCAAAGGTTACCGGAAAGAGTGCTGTTATCAATGTCCATAGGAGTCTAAAGAGGGTTCGGTGAAAGAAATCTAGGTAGGGGTTACTGGGTTGTAGTTGTCTGGAAGGTGAAGGGGGTTTGTGTCCATCTAGAGGTCGTGCGGGAGGCTTGGACGGGAATACGTCATTGTTGTTGAGTAGGCGACGATGACGTCGGAGCCTACGGCTTCAATGGGACACAGATAAAATATCCAACGTTAACGACAGTCCTTCCTACAAAAAACTGACAAGGTTTTAGTACTCAAGTGGGTTTAACAGTTTCCTTCACTACAGGTATCGTCGATTGGTTGCAAATTTTACTTGTCTGTTTAGGGAGCGGTAAAGGTGTATTCAGACTGGGACAAAAAAAGAGGTTCCTGGATTTTGCGACAGCTATTCGGAGACCTTGTTCAAGTATTCGAGATTCGTGGCGGTTAAATTAAAATTGTATCGATCTCGATAGGAGGCTTGTGTTGCGCCTTATACGCCTGACACGAGAAGGACACTCATGTGTGACTTCGTAGTCCCGTGTCAGACGTAAGGCCGGTAGGGGATCGAAATCGGGTGGGCAAGTTTTTCGGTTTTTTTTTCACAGTCCTAGTGAAAGTAATTTACGGCCGTTGTTCGCGTTCAACAATCGTAGCTTGGCGACTTCCTCTGGACCCGTGGACAAGTGGCACGGCGAGTGAGTTGTGGCGTGATGGAGGACGGATACCTTTCTGCGACAGGAAGGTATAGTTCAAAACCGAAAGAGTCAGAGGACCGGCGTAGGAGAGGTGACCGTTATAGGAAAAGTTTGAGGTAGAAGTATGGAGTAAAACAGTTACTGAGTCGACGTTGTTGTTGTAGAGGAAGACGACGAGGTTTCCTGTCACTTTGATCGGACGTTGTCTCCAAAAATTGTGGGGGAGGAATTGAAGGCCTTTCGTGAGGACAAAGTGGCATTTGTGGCTGTGTTATCTCCAAAAAATATCACCAAAAATCGGAGAATAGCGGTTGTTGAAAGGTGGCTCTTTACAAAGGCCGTTATTTGCTCGTCGACGAAGGGTAACTTTTTACAAGTTCCCGAAGGAACTCTCCCTCGTGACTATTTGCGCAGATGGGAGCGGGTATGATGTTGCGTTGTGGCCTCGAATGTCACTCTGTTTTCTCTCTTTCTCTTTTTCTTTGACTAACCTCCAAAGGGGGTGATTGATGCTGTGGGCGATTGATTATTGAGGAAGAGGACCAAGAAGGGTACACCAAATGAACGCCGCAAACCATGAATACCGTGATTTCTGGCGAACCGCTCTCGGTTTCGCTGATTCGTTCGATCGTTTTTTATGACGCGCTGGTGCCGTGTACGGGCGTTTGCTTCAAAGTCGGTGAAAGTGGTGTTAGTAATTGTGGAGGCGTGTTTGCCAGGGTTTCCCTTGGGCAGCGATGGTGGATAGTCCTCTTTGGGGTGTGTTTTTATTGTTTGATTGAGTGTGCCGTTGGTTCGAATAGAAATGGCCAAACACTGCTCGGGGTCGACAGTGGCGACCGAGAAGTCGGTTATTGTTGCGTCGCTACTCTGCTGCTGCGCACTCATACCTTTTTCTCCCAAATAAGTGCGAGGGGTTTTGTTGGTGCTGTGGTTTGTCCCAATTGTTCGAGATACGTACCTCCTAGTTGACAGGCCCGAGAGAACGAGGATGTAAGGGGCCCGTCTCTCTCTCGGTGACGTCGATGAATCTAGGCAACATATCTCCGAAGACTAGTCTAACCTCGTGGGACCTCTCTCCGACGTGGACCTATGGTTAGTCCCTTCTCTTCGTGTGTGTGGGTGTGTGCTCGGTGCGGGCTGTGGTCGTATCCCGTCACTTCGTCCCCAGCAGTGTGGAGGGGTCGATGCATTGTTTCGATATTCGACTGAGGTGTGTGTGTGTGCACCCACCCCAATGTGGCTTTGTCACGGGCCGTACCGTAATCATTCGTAAAAAGTTCACTAAGAGTCACTAGATTTTTACAGGTCAGGTTATTCGCATTGTTGACCTTTCTCGACTGTACTCACGTCATGAACAACAAAATCCTCCTCTTACGCATTCAATACTATCTGTGATAACCACTCACTGAACTACCAATAACCCTGAGCCTCAATTACTTACAAGGGATACAGGTGCATTTGACTCCTTTATCGTTGACTCGGTTCTGCCTTTGTCTGAGGAAAGTGACACTGGTGACACGGTTCGGACTCGGGGGATGGGATTAACGGTTTTTCCTGTTCCTGTTCATAGGATGTATCTCGACTGTGACCTTGTTAAAGGGGATGTAGCTATTGGGGTATGTCCAGCTTTTCCAATCGAGGGGATACATTTCATTCTGGGTAACGATTTGGCAGGTGGTAAAGTCTGGGCTGATGGCCCTTCTGTGTTGTTAGTCACTGGTGGTCTGATTGAGTCAGCATCTGAGAAGCGCTCTACAGTGGTGCCAGACGTTACGGCCGCGTGTGTGATCACACGGGCTAGGGCCAAAAGGGATCAGGACTTGCTATCACATGGGAAGTCAACTGACACAGTGGAGGTTCCATCTTTGTCTGAGTTTTCGGTGTTACTTACACACCATGAGGTGGGAGAGGAGCAACGTCAGGATGCTTCGCTGAAAGGCCTTTTTGACTGTGCTGTGCCAGTGGCAGAGAGGGAAAACGCTTCAAGTGGATACATGTTGCGTAATGACTTGTTGTTTAGGAGATGGAGGCCTGTTGATGGTGCAGGGACTGAGGTTTTCCAGCTGGTGGTGCCAACTAAGCTTCGTCCTCTTGTCCTGAAAGTCGCACATGATGAGTGTGGACACTTTGGGGTTCGGAAAACATATTGGAACATCCTGAAACACTACTTCTGGCCACGTCTTAAGACAGATGTGTCTCAGTATATTAGAACATGTCATGTGTGTCAGCTGACAGGGAAACCGAACCAGAAGATCAAACCAGCACCACTACAGCCGATACAAGTGGTAAGTGAACCATTTACACATCTCATTGTGGATTGTGTGGGCCCTTTACCATGTTCAAAGTCTGGTTGCAAATATCTGCTGACTGTGATGTGTCAAACCACTAGGTATCCAGCGGGCTTATCCTTTGAGGTCGATTACAACTAAGGCTGTGGTTAGGGCCTTGTTGCAGTTTATCTCAATATTTGGTATTCTAAGGTCGTTCAGGAGTGATCAAGGCTCCCAATTTTTCGTCTCCACATGTTTGCTCAGGTGTTGAAGCTTTTGAAGATTAAGAAGAACCAGTTCAACAGCTTACCACGCACAAGTCAGGGTGCTTTGGAAAGGTTTCACCAGACATTGAATCCTTGTTACGTGCTTACTGTCTGAGCTAGATGGGAGACTGCGGAGGAAGGTCTTCCTTGGTTGATGTTGGCTGCAAGAGGGAGGGGGTACATGAAGGTACCGGGGTTTAGCCCTAATGAGTTGGTTTTCGGACATGCTGTACGGGGTCCCTTGGCAGTGCTGAAAGAGGGTTGGTGTGGACACTGAGCACGACGCGAGGCTTGGTGGGATTAATGTGAATGGCCTTCAGACGTCGTTTGATGTTGCTTTAGTATGGCACCGGGAAAAGTTGTCAGTGTCTCCAAAGTAAATGGAAGGAGTTGTATGACCGTCGTTGCGACACGACGGAAGTTTACATCCAGGTTGACCGATGGAAGACTAAACGCCTCTGTCATGTAAATCTTCTGAAACCCTACCACAAGCGGGAGGTTAACACGGACACAGAGGTGGAGAAGGATGAGGTGCAGCCGGCTGTTGCGGTGACACATGGTTTGACGCATGAGGGAGATGTAGTGCCTGAACCTGATGATAGTTTGCTCTGTGGTCGTTTGAGAAATTCGGAATTGCTAGATAATTTAGACGGGTTGTTGTCTCATTTGACGGAATCAAGACGTGAGGAACTCTCAGCAGTAGTACACAAATATCTGTGTCTGTTTGGAGACACTCCTTCGCAAACTGACTGGGCTGAGCATGATATTGATGTTGGGGAGGCTCAGCCGATTAAGCAACATTTTTATCGCATGCCACCAGTTAAGCGCAATCGGCTGGATGCAGAGATTAATTACATGTTGGAGAACAAAATTGCTGTCCCATCAGCATCTAGTTGGGCGTCTCCATGTATTTTGGTGCCAAAGCAGGATGGGACACCTAGATTCTGTACTGATCTAAGAAAAGTGAATGTGGTGACAAAATCTGACTCTTTTCCTTTGCCACGGATGGATGACTGTATAGATCAGGTAGGGTCCGCAAAGTATGTTAGCAAATTTGATTTGCTTAAAGGGTATTGGCAGATCCCCTTGTCCAAGCGGGCACAGGAAATAGCGGCATTTATCACACCATCTGGACTTTATTCATATAAGGTAATGCCGTTTGGGTTAAAAAATGCTCCTGCTACATTCCAACGTTTGATGAATCGCGTGGTGTCGGGTTTAGAGGGTTGTACGGTGTATCTAGACGATTTGTTAATTTGCAGTGATACTTGGACTGCTCATGTTCAGCGCATCGAGAGGTTGTTTGAACGGTTGACGGAGGCACATCTGACTATTAATTTGGCCAAATGTGCCTTTGCAAAGGCAGCAGTGACATATCTTGGCCATGTGGTGGGTCAGGGTTGTGTGGCTCCAGTTCTGGCCAAGGTCAGAGCAATATCTGAATACCCACAGCCCACAACCAAAAAGGAACTCCAGAGATTTTTGGGTATGGTGGGTTACTACAGGAGGTTCTGTGAAAATTTTTCCACTACAGTGTTTCCTTTGACTGAACTTCTTAGGGCTAAGGTAAAGTATACTTGGTCGGTCGACTGTCAGAGAGCGTTTGATAGGGTTAAAGTCTCTATTGTGTTCCTCTCAGGCCGTTAGCGGCTCCATGTTTTGATCGTCCTTTTAGTCTCCAAGTAGGATGCAAGCCAGGTGGGAGTCGGTGCGGTTCTGCTCCAGTTTGACAAGGGGGGGGGTGGAGAGACCCGGTCAGTTTCTTTTCCAAGAAACTTAACAGTTACCAAAGGAATTATTCGGTGATTGAGAAGGAAGCGTTAGCACTCATTTGGGCGTTGCAGCATTTCACTGTATATGTGGGAGCAGGAGGACCAATTTTGGTTTTACCACAGATCACAATCCCCTGACCTTTTTGCATTCAATGAAGTGTCCTAACCAAAGACTGACGAGGTGGTCTTTGTTTCTTCAGGCTTACAACCTTGATGTTAGGCACATTAGGGGGTCTGACAATGTTATTGCTGACGCGGCTGTCACGAGCCCCCATGGCACTAAGTATGGTTAGGTTTTACCTTAATGTATATATATATATATTGACTGTCATACTGTGATAAATCTTTCTTGCTCTGCCCATTCTTTTTTAAATAGTGCTTCTCAGATACTGGTGTTGCTAAAGGTGTGGCTGGGCGTTGAAGGAGAGGATTGCTGTGTGAAGGTGGTGTTTTTTTTGTTTTTTTTTCATTAGGGACCTGGGGGAGTGCCCATATGTGGGGGTTTTGTTTTCCATGACCTTTTGCTTTGGTTTGGGATGGGGTTTGGTTGGTGGTGCCGGTGCCCTGGGGACACCGACTTTAAGGGGGGGGGTGTGTGACGACCCCTCTGCTTCACTGCTCTATGCTGGTGTGGGGTGTGCCTGTGTGTGCTGGTGTGTGTGCTTCTCTCTCCCGCTGATTTGTATTCCAGGTGCAGCGCTCTTCTCCAGGTGCTTCCCAATCTGATCAGCGCCTCTATAAAGGATCTAAGTAGGCTGCAGTGGCTCTCTCTCTGCGCCGGGGAACGGAGGAGGGAGAGCAGCCCGGAACAGCTATCCTCCTGCATAGAGCCTGTTTAACCCCTGTTTGGGTGGTCGGTTGTTTTTGGGGAGCGTGAATAACACTCTCTTTTTTCCATACTCACGTCCGTCGGTCTCATCGCTGCGTTTGTTATGGGCTGAGAGCCAAGCCGTGACGTTGTGAGACACGATCGTTTTACGAGAGGAAATCGTGAAAAGGGTAGCTGAGTCGTGAAGATATGCCATAAGTCAGCAGAGACACCTGATTAGAAATTGCTAGTGGGAATGCTTTATGCTGAAGAAATCTGACGCTAAAAACGCTATGTTGAAATGTAATTGTTACGAAAAAAAAATGTGAAGAATTTAGATTGAAATGCAACTACATGAACACTGGGGGCTTGAATGTGTGATGAGAGAAGAGAAAGAAAGTGAAAAAGGCTTGACAAGCAGCAGAAATATTTGAACCGCACCAAACTTCTGAACTAACTTGATGGCGACATGATCTGTCGCTATGGCAACGACCATTTGAGACACCCCACAGATACTGCTTAGAACGTGATGGCTGCATTGTTTACCAAACCTGTGAAGTTTTGGGCTGTTTTGGAGTATTTTCACTGAAGTATGAGAAAACCGTGTTTCAAGGCGAGCAAACGGCATTTGAAGAAAATCTTAACTGTTCCCGTAGAATGTCTCGCACACGCTGGACTGGTTAGCCACACTTGTGAAGTTTGAGCATTTTGAACATTTGCATAGGAAGTTATAGCGACATCATGCTTTATGGCGAGGGGATGCGTTTCCATTGGAAACGGCATATTTGCGTGATATCTTCAGGATTTTGGCGTAGAGCTGTTGAATGCATGACCGGGTGATATAACAAATTGAAGAAAATTTCGGGACGATTGGACCGTGTCCATTGCGAACTTATACGCGACATCATGTTTATGGCGGAGCGATGCATTTCCATGGAAAACAGCATAGGTGAGATCCCAGATTGGCGTAGAGCCTGTTGAGGCATGGACCGGTGATTATACAAGTGAAGATTGGACGATTGGACGTGGTCCATTGCGACTAAAGCTAGCGCGCATCATGTTTTATGGCGAGGGATGCGTTTCCATGGAAACGGATTATGGTTGAGGACCTCAGAATGCGTAGAAGCTGTTGAGGCATGGACCGGTATATACAAGTGAAAGATTGGGGACGAGTTGCGGGACCGTGGTCAGTGGGACTTAGCAGCCCACATCTGTTTCATGCGATGTGGTCCGTTTTCCATGGAAAACGGGATATGGTGAGATGCTCAAAATTGCGTAGAGCTGTTGAGGGCATGGGACCGGTGATATACAAGTTGAAGATTGGGGGACGATTGGGACCGTGTCGATGGGACTTAACAAGTCCCACTCGTGTTTCATGGTGAGTGGTTCCGTCGCCATGGGCAACGCATTTGATGACACCCCATACTAACGGCTTAGATGCGTTGATGGACTGGCATCGTTACCCAAACCTGTGAAGTTCTGGGCTGTTTGGAGTATTTCACTGAATGTTATGAGAAAACCGTGTTTCAAGGCCGAGCATTGTGTTGCCCATGGCAACGGATTTGCAGGAAAACCTCCAAAACTGTCCCGTAATTGTCTTCACAGCTGGGATGTTGCACACTGCTTATCTGAAGTCTTGCGTCTTGAGCATGTCAGTTGGGAGAGATGGACATCATCGTGCTCCATTACACAGGGTTTATATGAGCTACGAGCTCTGTATAGATCATAATTATGCTCGATTGTTCCTTAATTGAGAGATAAAAACCTCTTACATGTGAACGTTTTGGAAGAAAAACCTAAACGATATCTGTGAAATTTCAAAACGTGAAGCATGTCAAGGAAGTTGAGTATGCTGAATTGGTAACTTTTGTGAGTTTCGGGTTATAAGTGGGCCTTTGGGCAGTTTTAACGTAAAGGTGTGCGCTCTTACCTGAGGAATATCTCCTGAAATTACCAATGGGTTTAATGGAGGGAATGTTGAACGTTTTGGTCACTTCATCCCTCAAAAAGCATTTTGTTTAATTAATTTTTGCTTAATTATTTGTCATTTTTCATAAGCTACGAGATGGTTTTCCTACGTTGCATGAAAATTATGTTTCAGGAATGTAGGGTTGGGGAGATTATGGCGAGAGAGAGAGAAAAATATGATTGATATGCTGAATTTCGCGAAGGCTGGTCCTCACTCTAGTTCGTTGTGGGACATCACCACGCTCTAGTCTAGTTGAATTGTATTTAGATATAAGTTTTGAAGATTAGATACCTCTAAATATCTAAGGTGGGGCGAACATAATGTGTTGAATGTCATCTCTAGAAGTAAGTAATATCCTAGATGTGAGTAGTTATATATGTTGGTAGTATCGTTTTACGAAGGAATGTCAGAGAAAAGAGTAGAACGTTATTGAAAGTTGGGAATGATGTGAGTTGTGCTTTGAGTTGAATTTTTTATTTAAAGTTTTTTTTTTTATATTAACCCTGTTTAGTAATTTATGACCATATAAATTAGTTAAGGCTATTGAGATCTTTAAGAGATCCTGAGATGTGAATCTTAAGGGCGTGGATTTCTTTCTGCCATAGGTAAGTCAGGGGCAACGATTACAACATTGTGAACAGCGATTAACACTAGAGCATATGAGATATGAGTATGACCAATATGTTATGATTGATCTATTAATCTTAGGGTGAACAACTATTGAGAGATAGACAGTTTATTAAGGAAAAGAAATGTTCGGATGTACAGTTATGTGTGTGCAGAGAGTTGTTGAGGATATAGTGGACAGTAAGGAAAGGCATATTTGATTACTTACAAGAGAGCTGGGGTAAGGACCTTCTGACAACTTCCGCCAATTTAAAAACCTAGCTATAAGAACAAGTGCCGTCATTGAGCGTTATTGAAGTCATGTCCAAGACCANGGAGGTTCCATCTTTGTCTGAGTTTTCGGTGTTACTTACACACCATGAGGTGGGAGAGGAGCAACGTCAGGATGCTTCGCTGAAAGGCCTTTTTGACTGTGCTGTGCCAGTGGCAGAGAGGGAAAACGCTTCAAGTGGATACATGTTGCGTAATGACTTGTTGTTTAGGAGATGGAGGCCTGTTGATGGTGCAGGGACTGAGGTTTTCCAGCTGGTGGTGCCAACTAAGCTTCGTCCTCTTGTCCTGAAAGTCGCACATGATGAGTGTGGACACTTTGGGGTTCGGAAAACATATTGGAACATCCTGAAACACTACTTCTGGCCACGTCTTAAGACAGATGTGTCGCAGTATATTAGAACATGTCATGTGTGTCAGCTGACAGGGAAACCGAACCAGAAGATCAAACCAGCACCACTACAGCCGATACAAGTGGTAAGTGAACCATTTACACATCTCATTGTGGATTGTGTGGGCCCTTTACCATGTTCAAAGTCTGGTTGCAAATATCTGCTGACTGTGATGTGTCAAACCACTAGGTATCCAGCGGCTTATCCTTTGAGGTCGATTACAACTAAGGCTGTGGTTAGGGCCTTGTTGCAGTTTATCTCAATATTTGGTATTCCTAAGGTTGTTCAGAGTGATCAAGGCTCCAATTTTTCGTCTCACATGTTTGCTCAGGTGTTGAAGCTTTTGAAGATTAAGAAGAACCAGTCAACAGCTTACCACGCACAAAGTCAGGGTGCTTTGGAAAGGTTTCACCAGACATTGAAATCCTTGTTACGTGCTTACTGTACTGAGCTAGATGGAGACTGGGAGGAAGGTCTTCCTTGGTTGATGTTGGCTGCAAGGGAGGCGGTACATGAAGGTACGGGGTTTAGCCCTAATGAGTTGGTTTTCGGACATGCTGTACGGGGTCCCTTGGCAGTGCTGAAAGAGGGTTGTGTGGACACTGAGCCACCACGGAGCTTGGTGGATTATGTGAATGGCTTCAGACGTCGTTTGATTGTTGCTTTAAGTATGGCACGGGAAAAGTTGTCAGTGTCTCAAAGTAAAATGAAGGAGTTGTATGACCGTCGTTCGGCACGACAGGAGTTTAATCCAGGTGACCAGGTTCTATCACTTATGCCTATTGTTGGTTCCCCATTTCAGGCTAAATATTCAGGTCCGTACACTATCATTGAGAAAACTTCTGATTTAAATTATGTTGTGGCAACACCAGAACGAAGGAAGACTAAACGCCTCTGTCATGTAAATCTTCTGAAACCCTACCACAAGCGGGAGGTTAACACGGACACAGAGGTGGAGAAGGATGAGGTGCAGCCGGCTGTTGCGGTGACACATGGTTTGACGCATGAGGGAGATGTAGTGCCTGAACCTGATGATAGTTTGCTCTGTGGTCATTTGAGAAATTCGGAATCGCTAGATAATTTAGACGGGTTGTTGTCTCATTTGGCGGAATCAAGACGTGAGGAACTCTCAGCATTGGTACACAAATATCTGTGTCTGTTTGGAGACACTCCTTCGCAAACTGACTGGGCTGAGCATGATATTGATGTTGGGGACGCTCAGCCGATTAAGCAACATTTTTATCGCATGCCACCAGTTAAGCGCAATCGGCTGGATGCAGAGATTAATTACATGTTGGAGAACAAAATTGCTGTCCCATCAGCATCTAGTTGGGCGTCTCCATGTATTTTGGTGCCAAAGCAGGATGGGACACCTAGATTCTGTACTGATCTAAGAAAAGTGAATGCGGTGACAAAATCTGACTCTTTTCCTTTGCCACGGATGGATGACTGTATAGATCAGGTGGGGTCCGCAAAGTATGTTAGCAAATTTGATTTGCTTAAAGGGTATTGGCAGTTCCCCTTGTCCAAGCGGGCATAGGATAATATCTGAATACCCACAGCCCACAACCAAAAAGGAACTCCAGAGATTTTTGGATATGGTGGGTTACTACAAGAGCGGCTCCATGTTTTGATCGTCCTTTTAGTCTCCAAGTAGATGCAAGCCAGGTGGGAGTCGGTGCGGTTCTGCTCCAGGTTAACGCGAGCGCAGAACACGACGTAAGTTAACGTGAGCCTGTAAGTCTCTAAAGAGAGTATTTACAGGCTACTCTTTGTGAAAAGAAAGTTTTTTTTCGACCGGTTTACCCCACCGTCGACCCCACCGTTCCGTAAAAAGACTCCCACCGTCGTCGACGTGGCGGCATCTTGGCGGTTACCCGTGAGGGTCTTGGGGTTACTTTATGTGTGTGAAGTGTGTCGTTAGGAGCGGAAGTCGTGGGTCGGGTGTGGAAATCGGTGTGGTCACAGACTCTTCGTGAAATTTTTTACCCGCCTCGCTCTTTCTAAATAGTGTCATACTTGTCAGTTATATATATTTTAGCTTCCAGTTTTGATTGTTGATGAATCACCACCGTACCTCGTGCACTGTCGCGCAGCGTCGTTATTGTAACAGCCTAGGGATGTACACGGATTGTAAGTTCCAACATTCGGACTTTCTTGTTTCTGGTGGAGCAGTCGGAAACCCAACCCTGTGAAGTAACTTACGGTTTTTCCAGTCCCCTAACACTAGACACCATTTGGTTTTAACCAGGAGGACGAGGGTGTATATGTCACTTTACGACCGTTACGGGGTTTACTCACGATTGCGAAGAAATAGTTAGTGGCTTATTAAGGAAACCATTGGCAAATTCNTTGTGTTCCTCTCAGGCGTTAGCGGCTCCATGTTTTGATCGTCCTTTTAGTCTCCAAGTAGATGCAAGCCAGGTGGGAGTCGGTGCGGTTCTGCTCCAGCTTGACAAGGGGGGGGTGGAGAGACCCGTCAGTTTCTTTTCAAAGAAACTTAACAGTTACCAAAGGAATTATTCGGTGAAGCAGGGGTCGTCACACATATATTTTGACTCTTGGTTTTTGTTAATCCCGCTATCTGTCTGTCTGTTATAATCATTATCATCCTTGTTTGATTCATATTCTATCATAACTAAATGTTTTTGCGTGCCCTGCTGCCTGTTCACATTTCCTGGGACTCACACACATACTCACACACACACTGCTTGGCTTTCGCCCCTTACATCATGTTTCCATTGCTCAATGAAAGCCGACCTGTATCATGTGCAGCCGCTGTTGTCACTGAGAGACAAATGGACAACCTCTGTCTCATCTTTAGTTATTTCCATCTCTTCCCTCCTTCTCCTGCCTTCCTCCACAGTCTTTTTGACAGTGAGTATTTATTAGATGTCATTGTATTTAAAAGGAATGTGGGATAAAAATGTAAAACAATTGCATTACTTTTGAAGATTTGAACCATGCACCTAGCTTATGTATTAGTTCTGCATCTGTCACATAAACACACTGCATGTAACTGAAGTTCTGATGCTTTTTTAAATCACTGACGCACACTCCCACAGCCCTGTGACTCTTATTTGTATTCTAATTCATTTTCATATTTGCATAATCTCATTTGTGTGATTCAGCAGCCACACAACCGTATTAACTTCTATTTAACTCGATTACTGTACTTGTTTTTAAGATGTTCAATATATTCACAAGCATTTCATTTGTCTGTACTTTTCCCCAGCTACACAAAGCTAAGCGTGTCTCGCAGGGCTGCACAGGCCATTTCAGCCAATTTAGCCTCCGTTAATTACTTATCAATAACCACCCCAGCAGCTTTAAAAGAGCCCTGCAAACACACACGCACGCACACACACACACACATACAAGCACACACATAAAACCACACATTCCTCCTGCCTATTTTATCCAATTAAATCCATCAAAGATTCAAGGCAAGTGTATAATAGGAACACAATATCGAGGCAGTCATTATGCAAGTTTGAGTTGGCCTGGTTCTCATTACCTGGGGACCTCACAGTAGCTACCAGCACTACACACACACACACACACACACACACACACACACACACACACACACACACACACACACACACACACACACACACACACACACACACACACACACACACACACACACACACACACACACACACGACGACACGACACACACACAACT